GCGTAGGGCCAACAATGCATCAGAACAATGCGTAGGAAAACAACGCGTTTTTGGGTAACCGTGCGTTATGGAACAACACGTTGCGTGACAATGCGTAGGGCGACAATGCGTAAGAACAATGCGTAGAGAAACAATGCGTAGGGTGACGATGCGTGGGGTAACAATGCGTAGGGCGACAAGGTGCAACACGGCGTAGGGCAATAATGCGTACGCCGAGAAGGCGCAGGGCGACAATGCGTCGGGGATCAATGCGTGGGGCGACAATGCGTAGGGGCAACAATGCGTATGAACAATGCGTAGGAAGACAATGCGTTTTTGTAGGAAAACAGCACCCTAGAAAGCGTAGGGCGACAATGCGTAGAGCAACGATGCGTAGGAACAATGCGTAGGAAAACAATGCGTAGGGTGACAATGCGTAAGATAACAATGTGTAGGGTAACAATGCGTAGGGCAACATTGCGTAGGCCGATAAGGCGTGGGGCGACAATGCGTAGGGTAACGATGTGTAGGGCGATAATGTGTACGGCAACGGTACAATGTACAACGCGTATACGACCAGACGGGTGAACTATACAATGCGTGTACGGCTAGGCGGTGGAAGGACGCTGATCTTTAAGCCGGTATCACGTATGGTAACCGTCAGTGGAGTAGGATTCTTTGCGTAAACGGACAAGGACCGTTTAACGACTGCAGAATGTTATTTTAGCAACAGCGAAACTACCTTGAGACGACCTCTGAATGACGGCAAAATTACCTGTGTTCGGTTGACCATATGCCGATCAACGTACACGAAACGCCCCATGCTCTCGACCGTTAACAGCTAGCTCGTAGACAACTGCATTAACCAATTGACAAGCGACACATACAAGATGCGCCTTCCGTTTGTCACACGGTCAACAGCCGTGTTTTGACTGACCAACTGCAAAGACCGCAATGATCCGGCAGGTACTGATACATCGAACTCAACGGTGTACAAATCCGTGCAGAACAATTGCAACCATGCGGCAACGGCTGCAACCAGCAAACAAGGAACTGTCCGTATTAGGTTCCACCTACGTATCCATCTCCGACCGTACATTGCGTCATCACTTAGCATTCATTGGCAATTTTCAGCCTTTTTGTGGCTATTTCCACCTCTCTTCTAGTTCCCTCCATTCCTCCTACCTCCGTCTTTCTCTCTCTTTATCTCTCTCCCGGCACTCCCTCCCCCACTCTCTCTTTCGCCCCTACCTCCGTACGGCATATCCTTGTCATGCTTCAGCATACCGCCGTTCATCACATCCGGTTAATTGCCACTACGCTGTTGCACTCCTCTTTTTCTCCTCCTCCTGAACGCCGTAACCCAAGTTGTCGCCCCCCCCACCAACGCGCTCTACTGTTTGTGGCTATTCCCTATCCTTCTTTTCCACCTCTCTTCTGGTACGTCTCTCTCTCTCTCCCATCAGTCCCTCCCCCACTTCCTGTCTCGCCCCTACCTCCCTACGGCATATTCCCGCGCTTGGTATGTTATGCCGGCGGACCACAACGCTTCCGACCTGCCCAGGTGCGTTAGATACCTTGCGACCTGTGGGCACATGGTTGAACGGGGAGGGAGGCGTTGTACAGTGGCATATGGAGCAGTGTGTAGTTGCATGGTTGCGTGGTTGCATGGTTGCATGGTTGCATGGTTGCGTGGTTGCATGGTTGCATGGTTGCATGGTTGCATGGTTGCATGGTTGCATAGTTGCACATGGAATAATGTATGCGATGCAACATGCCTTTGCTAATCGCCTTGCCGTGTTAATCTCCCTGCCGCTCCGTGTAACCATATGTTACGCACCCTATCCCCTTCCTTTCACCTGTCTATAAATTGGGTTTCGCTCCGACCCTTATGCCTTAGACTCTTACCTCTATCTGCTCCTACTTCCGTCACTATTGTTAGCGACCCACTCTCCCTCCGTATGTTTCCCACTCCTATATTATTTCCTATCAAATATTGACAAAATGTCTGCACATTACCTACTAGGATTAACTAATATCGATATCCTTTGCCGACGATGTACGACACTTACCCGTTAAACGGGCATGTGTGCACGAGCTTGCCCTGCTGCTGCACGTTAGGCGCGTTGTGACCTGTGGAAACATGGATGGTAGGGCCATGGCAGGTTCGACATTGAATGTGCAATGCAGGTCATGGCGGGTACGACAAAATTCATGGACGAATACGCTGCGTATTTGCATTGGCACTCCATGTTAATTCTGCTGCGATCCCCTGCCGTAATCCGCACAAATCAGCGGTGTTGCCCGAAATGACATTTACAATGCGTCATCTACCTGCCGCCCCATGTAACCGGTTCCTGCATTACATGTATCCTATGACCATCTACCTCTTATGAGCAAACCTCCTTTACTCCTAACCAGACTTACCCAGACTTCCCGGTGCCCGGTTGGTGCACGGCAGCACCCTCCAGGCCAGCTCGTGCTTCCTTCGCCTCTTGTCGCTTGTAGAGCTCGTACCGAAACATGGCCGGCGTGTGGCAAGACGCGCGGTGAGCCTCCTCGGCGTCCTTTTCCGCTGCCGCATTATCAACGGGCGGCAACCGGTTAAGGCGCGTGTCAAACTCGTTCTTAATGGCACCGGACGGCGTGGCCTGCAGCTTATTCTTCGACCACTCGCTGATGAGTTCGTCTGCGTACTGGAACCGGCTGAGACGTTCCGGGTCCGACGGGAGCAGCCAATTCTGGCCGGGCGACTTCGCCTCGAAAAGCTGCTTCGGGAATCGCCTCAGGGATCGACCGCCAACCTTGGCCCATGCGGCCAGAAGGCGGGGAATCGAGACGAGCACCATTCCGGTGTAGCCCGCTGCACTGGGGGAGTCGATGTCGTTGTTGTAGGCCGCATCGGAGTCGCTGGGCGCGCCGTCCATGGGAAGATGCAGCAGCGCGTTAGTGTTGAAACGCATGCAGTCCAGGTACGTTTGGCCTGCGTGCCTGTGGAAGCTGGACTGCAGGTCAAAGATCCGCTTGGTGATGTCGCTGGTTTGCGAACAGCTGTCGCACATGCATAGCACGGGCACTGCAAAACCCGACTTCCCCCACTGCTTGTAGCCGCACAGCACGATGCCGACTCGGGGCCTGGTGCCCATCTTGTCTACGTGATTCAGGACGAGCGTTCCTGGTGGCAGCATGCCGCCGATGACGGCAGCTGTCAGGCGCCCCATGTCGGGGGGGCCCCATGACGTACGGTACGGCAGCTGAGTTGGCAAGTCGCTCAGTAAGCGCCTAATGCGCTCGAACGTCACCGACTGGTGGTACCTGTTGACGGCTGGCATGTCACTCGACCCCATCTTAATAACAAGACTCGGCAATGAAGATATGTTGCTGTACGCAGAGGTGCGCTCCTGCTGTGTAGCGTTAGGGAAGAGCGTGGCGTTAGCTTCAAATGCTGCAGCCACGTGGCTGCCCCATGCGACTATCTCAGGTTCGTGTATGGGTATCTGCCTGACAGCCGGCTGCTTCTGGGACCCTCCTATGACTCTCTCACTGGATGGCGCAGCTGCTGTAGAGGGCCCAGCCCCAGCCCCTTCTTCGATTGGGTGACCAGAACCAGAATCTACAGTTTCGTGCTCCTGGGCACGTGACAACCGTTTCCGACCACGACCACCTGCGCATCGGCCACTTGCATGACCGACACGCCTGCCGCTGACCGCACCCCCACCGCGAAAACCTTGGCCTCGGTTGTCGAAATCGACATCCAACTCGCTGCCACCCGCTGCGACGCCTCCGCCGATTGCTGGCGGCGGTGGTGCAGTCGTCGCTGCTCCCGGCCGCAATGCTTCGTTCGATAGTTCTTCCAGCAGCAGATTGTAGCGTCCACCTTCCAGGAGAGCAGCGCGGATCCCAGCCGCTCTCTGGAGAAGAGAACGCTCCACCGCAGGAGTCATGGCTGGCCTAGGAGGCTGATCCTCCATCTCCGCCGCAATGGTACGTGGGTTGACGTCAAATACAAACTGGAACTCCTCCATGTTGACAGTGCTGCCGATAAACCTGTCCAAGTCCTGTTTCCGAGCCCAAGCGCCGACGTCCATTAAGAACTGCTTGTCGTCTGCAATCTCAATACCGTGCGAAAGCAGCGCATACTGGTCCGCTGGGAAAGGCTGAGACTCTAGCGCAGCGTTAAATTTATCTGCCGCGCTGGATGATGGTTCTGCGCTGCACGGCTGCTGGCGTAGAGGTACGATCCAATCCAACTCGTACTGCCACCGTGTGCTGGTGTCCGGGGAGTGAAAACGTACGAATGCCACGTCCTCTGGTGCGTTTATCGATAGACCCTCTGCCGATATACATGAGAAGCGAGCCGCGAGATGCCACACGCTGCGTTGAAGGTCTCCGTCAACCGAAACGCATGGAACGCGGCTTCCTCCCACGAGAACGCAAGGCTTGGCTGAGAAATGGAAGAGGTTCCAGCTGTCGCCAGATTCCTCGATTGGCGTGGAGTACTTGTTGTCGTTCAACAACTGGGGCACGAAGGAATTAGGCAGAGGACATGCAGTTAATGGTAGCGAGCAGGCAAGGACAATTCGCCCAATCGTGAACAAAACGTATCTTCTCCGACGTGCATCCCGCGAAACATGCAAATCTTGCGCTATGCTACTTTGTAACCAATACTCTGCTCGCTGACTCTCGATTGCCGTAATGAACACTCACCACGCCGCTGCCGATCTCATGCACCACTACTTCCTGCTCGTGTATCCACAACCGTTTTGAAAATGCTTGCGTTAATTTCTGGAATTCGGCTTCTGTCAGATATATTGGTTCCATCGCGCTAGATGCGTCAATTTCGGGACCACCTAATGGACGGCTATTACGCACAAAGATTGTCAATTAAGTACATGCTACTTGTGCTTGTAGGCGTGCGTTCTGACCTCGCGAGGCATCAGTTTCCCGTCGTGACATGGGGTCGTACATCACCAGGGTTCTCGTACAGTTATCCTTGTGCGGTCACGCTTTGTAATGGTGTGCTCACATCTCTCACCTTCTGTTAATACAACTCAACGCCTACTACTTTGCTTTCGTCGTGGCGTAAATTTGAAACGTCCCATTTTACGTTCCCTTTTCATGTGCCTTTCTTTCTTTTCTGCATAACTATATAATCATGGCTGCTCGCATTCAACGTAGTCTCGTGCTCGCTCCAACCATAGTTCAGCAAGGTCCATTAATTGCGGCTATGCGGAGGATGGGCGTGGACTTCGGAACTTGCAAGCCGTTCCCACTACTTGAAGGTATCAACTTTACATTATCTAATGTAAACACGTTTATTGATGTACTGACGGCTCAATCTGTGCAGGGAGCGCCATCACCCTGGATCGCTTGAACAATGCCCTTCCGCCATCTACACGACTTGGGATCGTCGTCTATGATGATATCCAAACGGCTACCATCCTCTATCGAAATACTCAGCATGGCGGCCCTGGTAGCGTTGGAAAATGGTCGGCCTACAAGGTTGCAGACAACGGCCTTGTATCTGTCGATGTTGCTTCAGCACTCCTGCCGGAACGCTTCTTCAGCCAAGTTGTTGTGACCATGAAAACCGCCGCCGGTGACAGCGTCGATCCGGCATCCGTGGAGGAGATGCTGGCTCGCTTGTGGGCGACGCCCATTCTAGATTTCGCTTGGCCAATCGCTTGCCTTCCAGGTGCCACGTTCAGCCTGGATGGGCGCACCAACCTTGTCTGGAACTCCAGCTTGCGCTTGCCCGAGCAAGCCAAGACGTTTGTGTACGCTCGCATTGTAAGTGATGTTAAGGCTGATAGATCAGCAGCGAAGATGCCACTCAAATGCTTCCAACTGCCACATCCTTACCGAGAAATATTGAGTGCTACGCACATGCCATGACCACTCGATGGTGTCGCTTCCTTTACACATGTCGTTACGTAACCATGGGCACCGTGCACGACCGCTGCCAACCAGCAGCACGCTCTGTTTGTCCGATTCACCCCGACCATGTGTACTGCATCTGGATGTACGGCAACGTAGTACGGCATGAATTTCGACACGCTCTCCATCCCCCTACATGTTCCCCACCCTCCTCGCTACCACCTCGTTCCTCCAACACCTCTGAGGCCGTCGTGCCGCCTATTCACGCATGTCTCCTTGTGCTGCAGGACGACCTGGGTCGACAGGCGTTCTACGTTGCCGGCACTTCCCTGTTCGGTGACGTCCGCGTGCTGTCCGTCCCCCAAGAGGACATCGAACCCCTTGTCAGCATCAGACGTGGCGGTGGCTTCACGCGGTGGCTTCCCGGCCTCGCTATTGTTGACACATCCGCAAGTACCGCAGTCATGCCCCACGTTGCTGACGTCGCCAACCTCGCCAGCGCTGTATCGCAGTCCCGCCACGCTTTCGTGCCTACCATTAACGTCCGGTATCGCGTAATGCCAAACGCCGATACCTACTACCGAATGGTCTGTGAACGGGTATCTTCTGAACCGACCAAGTCGCTACCGCGGGGCATTCCCGTTCCTTCTACGGATCCGCAAACCAGGTAAGCTCGTTAACGTGAGAAACTGCAACGGGTCGTAATGATTGTTTCGAAAACGGCAGCGTTCTGGGGTACAGAAACAACTTGAAACCAACTCGTTAGACACACGCCTGCATTCATGTATGCTCAGCGACTCACCCCTGTACGACACTCACCTGTACGCATGCAACTCCTGTTCCATTGTGCACTTCATCACTGTATGCAGTTCGTGTCCGTTTACACGCATGCCCTTCCATTTTACCTTGATGCTTACGTCGTGCAATCTACATACGCATGCAATCCCTCACGCTTTGCTACATCTTCTCCTAACATCCATGCCGTAATTTGAAATTTGTCCAGTCATGCACCTATTCTTATTATGCACATTACACCGTACCCTCACACAGGCGAGACTACCCGCCGGCGGCACAGCCTGAACCGCACAGAACGACGCTTGCTGAAAGGCCCACACGGTAAGCATATTCTCGTTCCTGCTCGTATGTCCCGTTTGATCTTCATCCCCGCGACAAAATACCCAATGATCTCCGCTACGCTCACGCATCTCCCTACTCTTGTAAATTAATGTACCGCATATGTATATATTACCACGCACGTACACGTCTTGTACCGCAATCCTGCTGCATGACCCTTAACGTCCGACCCTAGCGGCATGCCTTATTAATGTATGAAAACCATCTCTTCCGTTGTATCATCAGCTGCCTTTCATCACGCTAATGGCCGCAATTATCGCCGCCGTTTGAACTTGCTGTAGAGACCAACTGGAAGCAACCGTCCCTCTGCTGCACCTCACGCAGCCGCTTCTCAACAACATAATAACGTCTGCTCGTGAGGCAATCGTCGAGAACGACGCACGGCAGGCCACCATCTTCGACGCGCGGTCTCGCAAGGAGTGGAGTGCATTGTGCGCCGCCCGCAGACGGCCATTGCCGCCCGTCCTTGCGACCGTGCGATACAACGGTCGCCAGCTTCCTGATGTCCTCTTACCGATGAACGCCCTGGGCGTTGCGCTATCCATGACAACATCCGCCAGCAAACGCGTTTGCTGGTCCCAGGACGAGATAGCGGGTTGGAGCCCTGGCGGTGCGCACGTTGACGCCTGGCTAGGCGGCTGCTTGGAGCCGGGTATGATTCTCGAAACGCTGTGCTTCCCCAGCTCCTCGCAGCAGCCTGCACGCCGAGCAGCTGGTGTCGTTGTCTCCATTCCGCCTGACATCCCTATCAGCGTCTTGTGCTTTTGCGACAACTGTGCATCGAACAGCGACCTCACGGGTCGCATTGTGAATCTTTCGACATTCGAGCAACACGGCTGCGCCCATCCAGCAGGCAGCAACGCATGCCGCTGTAGCAGTGTCCCTGGGTGCGTGCGTGCTCTAGTTCGTATGGAGGATGCACCTCCGATGTGGCGGCCTCTATGGCGTTGGGCGCGTATCGAGCAGATCTCCTGTGCCGACCATGCCGTTGAGCCTCGGCTGGACTGGAACTGCTTATGGACCAGCACCAAGCCGCCCGACACGTCGCAACTACAACTCACTGACACGCCACCGCCGCCTGGCTGGAACGGTCGAGGCTATCCGTCCGAGGCACCCGGTGCTTGGTATCCGTAGAGTTACAAGTGCCACTCGATTGTCTCGCATAATTTGGCACGTCGCTTTGGTTGGTTCACGTGATTGGTTGGTGCACGTTGGTATGCCGTCGGGGATATGCCGTATGGAGGTAGGCGCGAAAAGGGTGGAGAAGAAAAATGCTAGGAGAGAGAACAACGGACGCAGGAGGAGTGGAGACAAATAGAATAGGGCCGGGAAATAAGGAAAGGAAACACCTGCAAATAGAAGAGCATGGTTTGGGAGGGGGGGCTACAAGTTGGTTCATGCTATTCAGGGCGAGCAGGGTGTCATACCCATGCCGTAAAATATGGAAGACTGAACGCCTCTTGGCAACATGCCGTTTTCGAAAGGCCTCTTGGCAACAAATAGTGAACGGCAGCGTATACTGTACGGATGTGTGTCATGTTTTTTTGACATGGCGCCTGACATGCATGAATGATGCTTTGAACGGTTAACCGCCTGCATTTCTACGCCATCCGGTCCAATGCATACGCTATCTGCACATTTCTTATATAGTAACCATCGAACTGCGAGTGGCTCATTTGATCGATTATGGTTCAGTTGACAATACTGCGCGAGGGAGGTGAAGAGGGCCGTCCAAAACCGCGCCCTAACCCATGCCGTACAGTACACCCATGTGAGACGATGCTACTCAGATGCCGCCAGAGCGATCTTAGCGATCGTTCGAATAACGAAGGAGCGGCACGGGGCATGGGGAACTTGAAGGGAGGTGGGAGCCCATTCATTTGGTCAGTCGCAACAGCGTAGTGTCCGAGGCTCATTGTTCTCATGTCGGACGCCTTGGCTTCAGTTTGCACTGCCGGTGCATATTGCCTGTCACTGCAATTAACACAACGGGTAACAACATACCACTTACAGCATAACCAACACCATTACACGGTACTAACAATCAAAATTTCATACTTTCGCTATACTTCTACATTGTCTGCGATGCACTGCGCTTTATTTAACGCCATGGATTGTCTGCGATGCACTGCGCTTTATATACCCGCGTAGGTAATTCCAACTCAGTACTTCGTCCCTTCACACATTACACTTCATTTCTTCCATGTTCTATGTAGTTTGACAACGTGTATTCACCGTTAACTTTCTGTGACAAGCATTGCAGCTCGCGCTATTCGCGCGCTTATCCTTCCGAAGCCAACTCATCCCGACAGCATGCCGAGACCATCACATGACAACATGTACGACACCCAGTCATGTCGGTACCTTACTTCCTATAAATATCACCACCGCTTTGATTGTTTACTAGCATTCTATTTTTCCAGCCGCTTCACACTACCATAATACCGCCACGTCATTAAACCTTGCTCATTGTCTGGTTCGTATTGTTACTGCCCGCAATGTCGCCCAAGACGCCACCTGCTGGCAAAAGGTAAATTACAAGATTGCCGCGCAAAAGGACGCCGAGGAGGCTCGCCGCGCGTCTTGCCACACACCTATCAGTTTAGTCTAATGTAGCCGTTTTCTCAACCATTGCTAGCGGTCTTGTCATGCCATTCCATATTGCTTCCTCGTTGCTGGCTGTCTTATTGCTACGGTGGTGATGCCTACAATTGCTACACATAACTTCTGCTCTTAGATTAATGATTAAATATTCGCCCCGTGCCCTCATGCCCTACATTCGCAGACCGCTAGACACCGCCACCGATACCAATACTCCGTCAAGCGGCAAGCGCCCTGCCAACACTGACTCCACCAGGTTCGCACTGCACTTATTAACCCGATGGCGTAAACCGCTTGCTTGCGTTCCAATATCATACAATTTCGCTTTACGCAATAGCCTTCAGTTTCGCTATATTTTCCAGCAAACGGGACCCAAGGGTCACTGCCTGCTCCCGTATTTTCCGCTCCCATCCCGCAATCAGCTGTTTACACACAAACCAATACCGCCAATTTACGCCATTTCACGCTGACTATATGCTACATTTACCAGCATGGCTTTGTACTTATAGCCCTTTCGACCGACGACAGACCCACGGGTCATATTCACAGCTTACCAATAACATTGGCGCCGCGCATGCTTACCTAAATCCCATTTCCGTTAAGACGCTACTCACTTCTCTCCCTCACATTTCCTTTTCGCAGGATATCCGCTGCATCCAGCAGTGCCTCAGGCTGCTCTCCTGCTCAACCAACGGCTCTGGAATTCCAGGCAACTGCCATGTTTGGACCGCAGCCGAGCCCATTCGAGAATGGTGTACGCGACAACATCAGCGTCCTCATGGGCCCCATCGTTCCGAAGGACGACGAAGGCGAGATCGCTCTCAAGGTCGCCGTTGTGCTAATTAGCGACCCCTACCTCAACCGCCTCGTCAACGCGCTGGGCAACATCGTCACCATTAACCCTGTCGTCGGCGGCCCTGTGCAGTCCAACAAGGTCCTGGGACGCCTCGCCCAAGTGTCGTCAACGCAGTTCCATATCGGCGACGCCGCCCAAGTGACGGTGAGGAACGTATAAACCCAATCTCAGACGCATTACACATACCTTTCCATGATCGGAACCATGCAAACTTATCAACTTTATCAACAATACCGTTACGTATCCCGCAACATACCGTCATGTTGTATACCCAGCATAATGCTGTGATCCCAAATGCACCATACCGTGGTCATAGCGCCGCGAGTAGTGATGGCTCTTACCTATCAAACCGCTTAATTGTAGCGCTTACATCTAATAGCACTTACGTATCACAGCCTTTGCGTATCAACATACCTTAACACATACCCCCGCTCACATACACGTGTTACCCCCCCTACGTACCCTATGCCTTCGCAGATATCACCCCACACGCGCTTCATTCCGCTGACAACTCGCCGCTTCCGCACACTTGCCGCTAACCCTGCCACCGACTCCGGCAACACTTCCAACGAGGCGCCCATGTTAGTGTATCCGTACGGCGCCCTGACGGAATACTCCGGACGCGACGAGCGGTTCAAGAAGCTGGACGCCATGGTAGCCACCGGAGATCCCAACGACCCCAACCCCGTAAAGATGGCCATTAAGTCACGGGCGTCTGCTCTCACTCCCTCCATGGCCCGCCTACTGGACCACGCTGCGGCGACGGGACAGGCGCTGTACATCAACGGCTACTTTGACCGCAAGAACGAGGCCTTCGACGGTAAGTTATTGACAAAAAAGATGCCATACGTTGCCCGTGCCATGCACATCGTATTGGATGCGTGCAATGCATCATATGGTAATACGTAACGACATAACCGTCTACCCATGTTATGTACGGTATCACACAAGCGCAACAATTGATGTTTCACATTACGCTACAACGCTTAACCTCAACATTCACACCGTCTGCGTACCAATTTGGCCCAATCCCGCACCCCCATGACCGCAATGCTTATCGTTTTGCTTCACGACCAACACCTTACCTCGTAGGCACTGTCTGGACCAACTCCTCCTTCATCTTCGGTGCCCACCCTACCCGCGCTGTTCGCAAGTTCATCCTGAAGGCCATCGCCAAGATCAACGGCGGCGCCGACGCAAGCGGTGTCAACTGGATGAACCGACTGGCACAGGAGTGGGAAGGTGACGCGGAGAGCACTCGGCCGCAGGTGGGTCGCTCCTTGCCTTATTGTACGCATTATACGTACCATACTACGCCTTCTTGCCCTACGCATTGTTATCCTACGCATTATTACCCTACGTATTCTGATTATACGCATTGTTGCCATACGCATTGTATCTATACGCATTCTCGCTATACGCATTGTAATCATACGCATCGTAATCCACTATATTCTTCCCTTACGCTGTGTTACCCTACGCATTACTGCCCTACGCATCGCTGCTGTTCGCATTGTTACCCAACGCATTTTATTTTACACTTTTTTGCCCACCGCATTGCTGCCCTACGCATTGTTGCCCTACGCATCCTTGCCCTACGCATTGTTGCCCTACGTATTGTTCCTACGCATCATCGCTCTACGCATTGTTATCCAACGTATTCTTCCATAACGCATTGTTGCTCTACGCATTACTGCCGTGGTACTGCCCATGTCGTACTGCAGTACTTTATGTATCGTCATACGTCCTGTAAACACTACTCTGCGCCCACTCTTTCCCCAGGACGGACTCATTCGCAACGCCGTTCTCCAGCCGCTCCAGGTCAAGCCGTCCCTGACCGGCCACACCGAACACGTTCTGCCGATGGCCCTCACGCACGACGACCACCACTACGCCGTGTACGCCAACACCCTCGACGTCGTTCAGCACGTACCCGGATACCTGGAGGAGTTCGGCACGGTCGAGATTGCCACCGTCAACCTGCCCAACATCATCAACTTCCTCCAGGAGCCCTTCGAGATGCACGCCGACGTCGAGGTGCTGACAACCGAACGATTCACCCGCATCACCCGCTTGGTACCCCGCGCCTGAAATGACACGCCACCCGTGCAGTGTCATGCGTTTGGGTATCACACCTTTGGTCTTGCGTAATTGAAGTACAGGTTCACTGTACGCACTTAGAAGTTTATGGCCATACGCACTGTGCCATTCGTATTTGGCCGTGAATGCTGATGAAGGGTCCGGTGTCTTCGTACCGTCGCGTCTGTTCGTGTACGTACTACGATGAGGACTATTACTCCGCATACCACGCTATACGAACAGAGCCATGCGCAATGTGCCAGTTGTACTCTACCATTCCGTCTAGTATTGCGCTTATTGGCGTCAAAGTCTTCTATGCATTCCGGTTATGCGTACATACATTGGTACACGATCTGTGCCATACGAACAGTGTCACTCACGCTGCGGAGTCGTCCTACTGGGCTTGGTCGTAGTTGTATGTCAACAACGCCATTTGTTCCACGTATGGTGTGCCAGTTGTACTATGCCATTCGTGTAGTTATGCGTTTACGTGCTATGCACTTCCAAAACCTTATCGCACACGTTTCATGTCCTGAACAGTTAATTTCAGTTGTTGTCGACCAATAACACTAGGATGTCCATGGTTGCTGGAGCTATGACGGTTGCCGGAGCAAACACGTCCACCAATGACACGGTCATAACCACACGGTCGTATCCCTTACAATACTTTTAACGACCAATACGTTCGCTATACGCCAACTTCCAATACGTACGCCAACGAGCCAATCTCATCATATGAACGACAAACACACCACGTAAACACGCTGAGGCATGTGTATGGTACAGTACGGTCAGCATCGCTTCGACCATCGTGTATCGCATTATCGCCCTACGTCGTTGCCCTACGCATTGTCACCCTACACACTGTCCCTACGCATTGTTGCCCTGCGCATTGTCGCCCTGCGCATTGTTGCCTTACGCGTTCATACCTGTTCACCTACGCATTCTCGCCTAACGCATTGTCCCTACGCATTGTTGCCTTACACATTGTCGCCTTACGCATTGTTGCCCTACTCATTGTCTCCCTGCGCATTATTGCCCTATCCATTGTTGCCTTACGCATTATCGCCCTACGCATTCTTTTCTTACGCATTGTTGCCCTACGCATTATCGCATTACGCATCGTCCCTACGCTTTCTTACCCTACACATTGTCGCCCTACGCATTGTCACCCTACGCATTGTTGCCTTACGCATTGTCGTCCTACGCATTCTTTCCCTACGCATTGTTCCCCTACGCATTGTCTCCCTGCGCATTGTTGCCATACGCATTGTTGCCTTACGCATTGTCACCCTACACATTCTTTCCCTACGCGTTGTTGCCCTACGCATTGTCACCCTACGTATTGTTGCCCTACGCATTGTCACCCTACGTATTGTTGCCCTACGCATTGTTGCCTTACGCATTGTCGTCCTACGCATTCT